CCTGTAAGTGCAGGAGACTCAACTTAGCTGACAATCAAAATGAGTTTGGGAGCGGATTCTTTTCCAGAGCCTCCAAAGGAAAGGCAGCTCACTAACACATTGACTCCAGCTCTGTAAAGATTCTGAGGAGAGAACAGGTTGTGTTGTGCCTGAATTTGCAAACCACAGAACTGTGAGCTGTTAAATGAGGTTAGAGACCTGCATTATGGCAACGTGTTATTGTAAAAATGGATTCAGCAGTGTTGCTGATTTGGCAATTATTAATTATGTCTTAATGCTTTTTCTTACTTTGATATCCTTTGCTATACCTTGCTCTGCAGGGAATTCAGAAAAAAAATACCCTAGAATAACAATGAGAGACTGAACACACTAAATTGTTTTTCTTGTTCTGTGCTTAAACTGACATGCCAGCTGCTCTCTGGATGTAGTTCAAGCTTCCTAAGTCATTGCACTAATTATTTGTACCATCTGATGGTAGTAGTAGCTTTCAGGAAATACCATACCTATGTACGGTCATGAAAAAAACATGTCTGCATCCAAAGGAAGTTCTTATGTTGTCACAAAGTCTGAGGTTAGGAACAAGGCCTTTCTGACTTCTTCCTCTGCACCTGTGATATCTCCATCAGTGAAAGGTTAAAGAGAGGACGGTTACTCCCTTAAGCAGGAAGCTTCCACAGAAAGAAGGAGAGTTAGAGTTCTAAGGTATTTACTTTCTCTGAGAATGACTAATTGATCTGGGGCACAGCACATGAGTCACTCAGTTGGGTTTCCAAGAGAATATTCTACAGGTGATTCAGAAAGAAAATAAATGATTTCATGGCATGAGACTGTAGGAGGGAGGGGAACCACAGAATGGCAAGGCTATAAAAAAATTATAATTTAAATTGGCCAGTGGTAAATGTTCTTAGTAAGGAATTTATGGAGGAAGAAGGCCTGTATAGCTATACCCATGGCACCCATGAGCACTGCTGCAGACTTTCAGAGTACATGTGCAAATCAGACCAGAAGACTTATTACCAAGAACCCAAAATCATGCCTGGATCCAAAGCCCTAATTATGCTATGCAAAATAAATTAAGGTTACTTTTCTTTTTAAAATATTTATTTTTTATTTTATGTGTATGAGTGTTTGCCTGCATGTATGTATGTGCACCTCATGTGTGCCTAGTGCCGGCAGAGACCAGAGGAGGGTGTGAGATCCTTTGGAACTGGAGTTATAGGTGGTTGTGAGCTGCCATGTGGGTGCTGGGAACCAAACCCAGGTCCTCTGTAAGATCAGCAAGTGATTTTAACTGCTGAGCCAGCTCCCCTGCTCCAGAGGTTATTTTTCAGTACTAATGTGTAGAGTAGGGAATTGCTGAGCCCTACTGAGGTGGATCCCGCTGGTAGACGGTCCAGAGAAAGTTGGGATCCTCTTCTCCTACTTTGGTTCTGTCCTTTTGGCTTGTGAGGGAGTATCTGAAAGTGGGGGAAGAGCTAGCTACCCTACATAGGTTAACGTCTATCCACCTACGTAAAGCACATCCTTAGCAGGGTCACAATTTTCAAATGAAATATGAACCATTGTGAGTAACCGTTGAGAAACCCAAAAGGGGAGGAGAAATCTAGGGGTGAGCAATGGGCAAGGACTTTGTACCAAGGAGGAGTTATCAAAAGTGTACATATGATAGCTTGGTCAAGGCCAGGCCAGATCTTCCCGAGGTGGCTTGGGTCTCAGACAGCAGTACTAACAGCAGTTCCCTGGGTCAGCCTGGAGTGCTGAGAGATTGGTTAGGTGACTCTCCTTTTCTTCTGGTGCAGTCACTCACTGGTCAGGGAAATAAGGCAGACACAGTGCATTTTGGACTGTCTCAAAAAGACCGAAAAACAGTTTACAGTTAATAACACTGCTGTGGTCAGTGTGGGGACATGAGGACTACATATAGGCTTAGAAATGGACTGGATAACAATGCACAGGTGACATCAACTAATTAACAACTAAATGAATTAACATCAAATCCAGGTGTCACACAGCATGGACCTCTGTCACAGTCCCCTGCAGTCACAGTCCCCCATTCATCAAAGATTAAAAAATAAAGTATAGCTCTGGAAAAAATGTAAGGGAAGATACTAAATGCAAAAACTGGGGAACAAGAAGTATTGGTTGAATGAAGCATGCGGGGCAAGAAAGTGCCTGCTTCCCTCCCTCCCACCCCCACTGTCTCCAGTGTCACATATTCTCTTAAAAAACAAATCCTCCTTAGGAGGCAGAGGCAGGGGGATCTCTGTGAGTTCAAGACCAGCCTGGTCTACATAGTGAGTTCCAGGCCAGCTGGGGCTACAGGGAGACGCTGTTTCAAAAAAGACCAAAACAAAAAACAAAAAAAACCCAAAACAAATCTCACTAATTGTGCACATAAAATGGCACCCTAGTGATAATCTACATTTGATAAGCTTGAAGACCTATCATATATTTTTAAAATGTTATTTATTATTTTTACTTTGTGTGTATAAATGTATTGCCTGCATGTAGGTAAGTGCACCCTTGTCATGCAGTGCCCACAGAGGTCAGAAGAGGGCATTGGATCCCCTGGAGCTGGAGTTACAGTTGGTTGTTAACTGCCATGTGAGTGCTGGGAATCAAACCCCAGAGCTCTGCAAGAGCAGCAATGCTCTTAACTGCTATACCATCTCTCCAGCCCTTGCAATCATAATTTAAATGTGGTTGACCTTTTAGTGAAATTTTCTTTTTCTGCTATTGGGGTATTTGTCTTTTCCTTATTTGTATATAATATTCTGTAAGCCAGCCCCTTGCCTGTTATTCCAAGTGTTTACCCAGTTTACCAACTACCTTTTAGTCTTGCTAATGGTAGTTTTGTGTACAAAAAATGCATGCTTTTTAATGTAGTTAGGTCTAAAATACCCCCACTTTAATAAACTCAGAGAATTCTAACCCATTTTAATATAAATCTTCAACAACATTTTCTAATTCTTTCAGATTTCAATTTGTCTTTAATCTATCTGATTTTATTTTGGTATGTGGAATAAGCTATAGATCAAAATTACTTTATTCTAAGTAGCTAATTTTCTCCACAGTGGTAACAATATAACAATAGCTGAATTTGCTTATTGCTTTCTGTGTGACAGGTACTATTCTATGAGGTTGCAACTCATGATTTCTCACAATAACTCTAGAAGGTGGGAGCCATCAATATTATTTCCTTGTTGTTAGAGCATCACTTATGTGGAAACTGAGGCACAGAATGGCTGCTCAACTTATTCAAAGTCCCGCTGGTACAGAGGGATGTGTTCAGATAGTCTCTCTATTCAGTATTCAGGCTGTACAATGGTGTGATGTAGCTGGCTTTGTATTCTACTCTGGTATCTTCAGTCCTACTCAGACACTGCACTGTCTTTATGTCCAGTAATTAAATATTCTCCTAATGTATGAGACAAATAATTTTCAATTTAATCATTGTTCCCCCTTCTATTTTATAATCTAGCATCTTAAAATGTCAAGGCCCTCTTCTTCTGAATACTAAAAGTATAATTCATGGGCCTGGAGAGATGGCTCGGTAGTTAAAGAGTACTGACTGCTCTTGCAGTGGACCTGAGTAATTCCCAGCACTCACATGGCAGCTAATTACTGTCCAAACTCCAGTTCCAGGGGATCCGACTCTTTTTTTAAAGACAGTGTTTCCCTGTAGACCCAGCTGGCCTGGAACTTGCTATGTAAACCAGGTTGGTTCTACTCTCACAGAGATCCAACTGCCTCTTGAGTATTATAAATTGGGGTTGGAGAGATAGTTTAGCGGTTAAGAGTACTTGCTGCTCTTGCAGAGGATCCAGGTTTGGTTCCCAGCACCCACATGGCAGCTAACAACCATCCATAACTCCAGTTACAGGGGATCCGACAATCTCTTCTGACCTCCATGAGCATTGCATGACATGGGTGCACTTACATATATGCAGGCAGTATACTCATACACATAAAATAAAAATAACAAATAAAATAAAAAGGAAAAAATAAAAATAAATTTGAAAAAAAAGATTAACTACCACTGGAGGCACAAACTACCATCTCTGAGGCATTTAACAACAGTGTTTGGCACAAAGTAACTGCTAAATAAGTGCTTTAAAATTAAAATGGAGCCTTTGCTGGTGCCATAAAGTGTTGAATTAATCACGTGGTCCAAATGTGCAACTCAGATGTAGATGTTTTTCAGTTTTTAATCAGGACTCTGCCTGGAGTTGCCATGTGATGTTTCCCAAATAGAAAATATGTTTCAAAGTACTCTTACATGGATTAAAAAAAAAAAAATTATCCTCACTGGGTGTGGTGGCGCACGCCTTTAGTCCCAGCACTTGGGAGGCAGAGGCAGGCAGATCTCTGTGAGTTCAAGGCGAGCCTGGTCTACATAGTGAGTTCCAGGACAGCTGGGGCTACAGGGAGACCCTGTCTCAAAAAGACCAAAAAATAAATAAATAAAATATTTTTAAAAATTATCCTCAAGAGGGGCCTGCTGAGCAGAGCAGAGTGGTACCATCCTGCTGGAATATGGGAACAAAAGATACTTATTTGCTGTATGTGAACACTGGAGCTAACTAGCATGTTTGAAGCCCCAATTCAAATGATGTCAGAATGGCTTCTTCCATGAGAAGGGAATTGGCCCATAAAAATCTATCAAGTATAACTGACCTGAGTGAGGACCGGCACACAGCAACGCATTATGTAGTTTTTGTGTGTTCACAAGTTCAGGTTTTTTTCCTCCCTTGTAACTTTAATATGATCTGACTTTACACTTCCCTTATAGAAATACCCTGAAGCTCTGGTTTCCTGAGACCCACATCTGCAGGGCCAGCTCAAGGGCACTGAGGCACTGTGGGGGCATTCTTGGGATTCTTTGTTAAATGAGGCCCAGCCCTTGGTTAAACCAAATGAGCTCAGTTGGGCTTGCATCTCCTGGGAGGGTGGGCCGCGATGGGATGAACTGTGGGTGATGGTGTGGTTTCATCCCACAGATATGTCACTCACACCGCAGCAGATGGTGGGTGTTGGACTTGGCTCCATGGCATTTGTGACCATTCTTGCATTCCTCTCCTTCTCAGCAGTGTGGTATGTGGGACTGTCACTTTTGAAAAATGAGTGGAATGGAGGGGAGGTTGGGTGGGAGTCATGCAGAACAGCTGGGGATGAGGAGGGTTAGAAGGGATGTGGGTGGGGTTTGCTGTGGCTCAGCAGAGCACAGGCAGCAGGTAAAAAGCATGACTCACTCTGCAGCTGGGCCTAAGAAGGGGATGTCCTCCTGATAGTGGGCAGTGATGGTGGCCCTGGTACCCCAGCAGGGAGGCTGATCCCCTATGGAGCTGCACTACCTCCCAGCCCTAGTGAGCTGCATGCAGGGGTGCACAGTGGGAAAACAGAAGGGTGTGTAATGTTTATCCCATTTCTTCCCCCTTTGTGTCTAGATGGCTGTTGAGTGCTGCGTGGGAAGGATGCATTGCTGCTGGGCAGATGTTCTGACAGTTTCTCTGGTGTTTGCACTGTGTGGCTCCCATCCTGAGGCCTTGTGTGGACCTGCAACTTTCTCCATTCCCAGTGTAGCGTCATTCCTGGATTCAAGATGGCAGCTATCTCTGTGGGGTCTTCCAGAAGGAGAAAACTCAGTAACTGTTGATGTGTTTTCTGCTTTCAGGACCGGTTCTGTGTCCATGAACTCGAGACCTTCTCATGTCCAATATAATACTGACTACAGATCTCAGCTCCTGAGTCTGTCTGGTCTGGTGATACCTGACAATTAGCTCCTGTAGACACTGGGTTGGAGAGACTGTGCATCTTCCTTTACAGCACCTCTGCTAATTAATTTGGGCTCTAGTCTTCCACAGTAGGTAATGAGATGGGTTTAAATTCGGGCTCCAATTTATGAAAAAGATTATTGAAAAGGATAGAGAACATTGGTGTCAGTAAAGTGTTTCAGACATTTTAGAAATAGCACTTTTCCTACAATTAATTGATAGACTAGTTAGGAAATACAGTGGCCCTGACACTCCTACAAATTCCCTGTAAGGACTGTTAGACAGCATTGCTTTGATAAATTTCCATTGTTTTACATGTGTTCAGAAATAGTGCCTGCATTCCAGTAAAAAACACTCTATACTTTAGAGTATTCTTCCTCTTGGTGATTTTTTTTTTAATGTTGAACATCTGGTAAAAATACTCTCTGCTTCCCTTTAGAAATTTGGGTTTGGTGATAATGTAGGAACAGTGGGTTGAAACAACATTAAGTTCATGGGCGGAATCCACATGTGTGGCAAGGGAGGGGGCATAAAGGTGTTTGACATGCTTAATCTAAACCTCAGTAGCACTGACTTTTACCATGTCATGGCCCAGTGCTGTGCCATTGTCAATACGCTGAGTATACAGATAGAGTGTGTTATATTTGACTTTCAAAGTCTCAGTTGGTATTCTTTAACTTTCTTCTCTAAAGACAAGTTTTCTCCAAGGCTGTGGCTTCTCTGTTCCTTCTCCCTCCTTGTCTGGACCCAGAGAATTAAAAGCTTGGGAAAAGAAAGGGGGTGCTGGTTACATTGTGGAGCACATAAGGTTGTGGCCCTGGAACTGTGCTCTATTGTGGTTCCCAGGAAAGAGAAAGTCTTTCCAGAGCAGTGGGCTGGTATGTTCTGTGTTGGCTAAGTTGGGTGTTTCTTTGTGTGTGTGTGGGGGGGGTCATAGCTGAGTGACTCAGTGCTATGGCTTAGATGTGGTTTGTCTCCACCAAAACTCATGTTGAAATTTGACTGCCATTGTGGTGGGATCTTTCCAACCTGATTTGATTGTTGAGAGTTCTTGCATAAGTTCTCACTTTCATGGGACTGACTTAGTTGCCACGAAAGCAGGTGGTCCTTGAGTCCATCCTTCCTTTCTGTATTCCACTGCAATTTGAAGCAGCAGGAAGCCCTCATTAGAAAATAAGATGAGGCCAGTACCATGAACTTAGACTTCCCAGGTTCCAGAGCCATGGGCCCTGAGCCCATATTAGCTTCTCTCTTTTTTATAACTTACCCAGGCTCAGGAACTCTGTCAGAGCAACAGAAAAAAAGGCTAAAACACCTCCACTGTGAGCACATAAAGAGACAGAACAGATGGGAACTTCTGTAAAGCTGCTCCACCTGGTGGGATGGAAACACGTGCTCTACTTAACGGGGAGAAGTCAGAGACAAAGAGGCACTACCCTGACGTTTGTATTTAATGCCAGCTGCCAGTCCTTGCTAGTATTAGAAATAATCATCCTCTGTCCTTTGAGGGTCTTCCCCTGACTACAACTTAGGATCAATATTTATATACCTCCCTAATTTCCCATTCTAGGATGAACTGCCAAAGATACAGCTGGCCACATGGGAACTTAACATAATTGCCATAGAAAGAAAGAAATCCCACTTAATATAAAAAGCTTCTGGTTTAGATAACTGATGAAATAGTAAGTAAATTATCAACTTGTGGGTACAGTTTATTTATGGTTGCAAAAATAGCAAACATATGGACTTTGTTATTTCCTCTAATTGTTCCAAATTACCATGCAGAGTCATTCAGTGCACATACATAACAGAAGCAGGTGCTAAGCATTTGTAAAACCCATGCTTGATTTTCCTGCAGTTCTTTTTCTAATAGTTTCTTTTAAACATGAAGGAAGCTTTAAGTACCGTACCATAATACTGTGTCCCCCTCCCCCAGCTGGATTCTCAGTTAACAGGGGAGTGACTCTTAGGAGACTAATGAGTCTCCTTGGAAAACTGCAGGATTTTTCTATCAAGTAACTGACACAGGGGCACTGTGTAGACTCTGGCATTGAGCTGGCTTGTGAGTCTCACTAAATGAAGCTAGTTCTGGATCCAGTGACAGGGGTCAGCAGGTAAAGGCACATAACACCAAGCCTGATGATCTCAGAAAGATCCCTGGGTCCCACATAGTAGAGTGAGAGAAGTGATTCCTGCAAATTGTCCTCTGACTTCCACACATGCTCTGTGGTATGTACATGCCCACAAAAGAAATAAAATGTCATTAAAAAAAATGTTAAGTACAGCCAGGCATGGTGGTGCACACCTTTAATCATAGCACTTGGGAGACAGAAGTGGGTGGATCTCTGTGGGTTCAAGGCCAGCCTGGTCTACATGGTGAGTTCCAGGCCAGCTGGGGCTACAGGAAGACACTGTCTCAAAAGGACCAAAAACCAAACCAAACTAAAACCAAAACAAACAACAACAACAAAAAGCATATAACTACATCTGAAGGTGGGGTGGAGAGAGTCTCTTTCCTCCTTGACGATTTAGATTTGGCCTTAAAATCTCCTCCAAATTGGGAATTGAAATTGGGAGGTTGCCCAGTCATAGAACATGCTTGCCTTGGGCTGTTGTGTTTTTCCTGTGGATGTGGACGTAGTTTGTGTGTATGCCCTCAACTGTACAACAGGAGCCTCTTTCATTCCATCCTCACAAAGGTTCTGTGTGGTTGGAAGGCCAGGGGATCCTGGTCCCCTTTTTAAATGGAGAGAAATGGGTTTAGACAGACCTGTGACGTGAATTGTGGGACAAGTCTTTTAATACAAGTCTGGTTTTCGTCCCTGGCATTTGCTAGCGCTTGAGTTGGCTACTGAGGTATTTTTGGACAGGCACTTTGGTTCTTGGGAAAACTGTCTTTACATCTCCAAACCATATTATACACACTTTAAACTGTTACCTTCATTATGGTACATACGGCTAACTTTTCACTGCGGAGTATCCCCACTCTTCATTTCTAGGAAGAGATATGAACAACCAGGCAAATGAAAGCAGACTGATTAGAGAAAATAGCTAACAATCTTTTCTCTGACTTAAGAGCTGGAATTGCAGCAAAGCACTCAAGATAAGACCAGAGTAGCTGTTTTTATCTTGAAATACCACATCAGCTTGAAATAAAAGCTAATCATTTGGAAGGAAGTAAAAATCAGTGCTCAGTGCCTCTTTTTGTTCCTACTACTCTCCTTCTGATTTTTGAACTCTTCTGTTTTTCCATTTTTCTTTAAGAGAAAACCACTGATCACAGCATTCAGTAACATAGTGTTTAAGAACCTTTAGCCTGTGACATTCATTGCTTAAGACGAGATTCTTGCTCCTGAAGGGAACCTGAGAATGTAGTCCTTGTTTTTTCGAGTGTATGCACCGGGGGATACAATAAAACAAATCAATTTTAAAATATTTTTATTAATTCTTTGAGAATTTCATATATTGTATTTTGATCATATTCACCTTCTCCCCCAACTCCTTACAGTTTTTAAAGGTATAGTATGCTCTGGTTGCCAGGGGAGTGGGTCAGTTTAGTTGTGGTGGCTGTGGTGATATGAGACTCTGTGTCCTTCAGAGGGCATCATTCAGGGTCACCAAAATGGATTGCAAAGGATGAGTGTGGTTTGTGGCATGCTTTCACTAATCAGTATTCCCTGGACGCATTTTCCTTATTAGTAATGACTGGCATGCTTAGGATGTTTCCAGGTCTTTACTTTTCTCAAACAAGTCCATGTATTGCTAGAGAAGTTTCACAGAGAAACCAGTCTGTGCTCTCACCAACAGTTTCAATGCCAACAGTTAGTGTTGATGTTGATCATCTTGATGAATCTGGTAGGTGAAATCTGTTTGTACCTCTGACAGTGTCTCAGAGTTGTTTGGTCTGTTTTTTTTTTTTTTTTTTTCGTTCTTCTTGAGACAGGTCTCCCTATAGCCCCAGCTGGCCTGGAACTCACTATGTAGACCAGGCTGGCCTTGGTCTCCACCTGCCTCTGCCTTCTGAGTGCTGGGACTAAAGGCGTGAACCACCACACCTGGCTGGTCTTTTTGATTCTGTCTTTGCCAATCATCTTTTTCTCCATATGATACTTGATCTGCTTGTCTCATTGATGTGAAAAAGCTCTTTATGGGGCTGGAAAGATGGCTCCTCAGTTACTAGCATGTCCTGCTCTTGCAGAGGACCCAGGTTTGATTCCCTTCATCATGTGGGTGCTTCCAACTATCTGTAACCACAGCTCCAGGGGATCCAGTGACTCTGGCCTCTGTGGACACCTGCACTCATGTGATACCTAATAAACATAATTTTTTTTTTAAAGTTCTTTGTATTTATTAACTTTTTTCTTTGTATTGTTTCTAGAAAGGACAACTTTGCTTTTTAAAAAACTTTGTTTAGGGGCTGGAGAGATGGCTCAGTGGTTAAGAACACTGGTTGTTCTTACAGAAGACCCAGATTCGAATTCCAGCACCCACATGGCAGCTAACAACTGTCTGCAACACCAGTCCCAGGGGATCTGACAGCCTCTTCTGTCCTCCATGGGTATTGCATGACATGGGTGCACTTACCTACATGCAGGCAATATACGCATACACATAAAATAAAATAAAAAAAAAACAAAAAACTTTTATATTGCCACTCCAAAATTTCAAATATGTATAGTCAAATTTATCAGTCTTTTCTCTTTATTTCTTTTGTGTTTGCTGCTAAGCTTAGAAGGACCTTCCAAAATCAAGATATTAAATAAATATGACATTTAAAATTGTCTTTATTAGGAATTTAACTTGAGCAGGAGGTGCAACTTCATGCTTCTTATTGCTTCTAAATGGTTTCCTACATGAACTTTTAATTGCCACCGCTCCCTTTCCTAGGGACTTGCATTATATACAGGAGACCATTTCTGAACTTCTCTTCTGTCCTGCTGATCTCCTTTCAGTGTCAATAGTACCTGCTCTAACTTTAAAATAGATTCAAAAGATACTAAGTAAGGTACCACTCATCCTGTTAATTCTCAGATGTTCTCAGCTTTTATGATATGTTTATTCATGTATGGGTATTTATTGTGCATAAACTAAAGAATTATTTAGCCAAGTGCCCCCATCTCATTCTCCAGGGGGAGGTTAAATAAAGAGGGCATCTATCCTGGAATATGATATGTGTCTCCATTTAAAATGTTCATTTGTGCTCGTCTAGAGTATTCTAGCTTGCATCTTACATGATAAAGTCATTCATGTGTTTTGCTGAATATGTCTAGACACTTTATGCTCTGTTATCCTGAACTGTTGGTCATGACCTCGGCTCCTGGCCCTGAAAGCACATGCCATGGCCTCTGCCTGCTGGCAGCGGTGGAGTTCTCCTGCTGTGGGATTCAGCCTTTCTCTAGGAAAAGTGGCATCAAGATGGCGCCTCCAGCACAGTTACACTCCCTGGGATCTACTTGACCCATAAAACTCACACTCTTGGCTGGCCAAGTGGAAGATATCCTGGCCATCACGGGCTGCTCCAGTCATGGTCCTTCACTTCCTTAACCATTGGTCCCTTGTGGTCTGTGTCTTGCTTCTTTTCCCGCCACTGCCAGGTGGCCTCAGCCGCTCCACCCTTGAATTTCGCATCCTGGGAATCAGACGCCAGGCTACCGAGGTCTCTGAAGCACTGGCTACACGAGTCTGAGTGGAGCTCTCCTTCATACTCCTCCTTCAAGGCTCGTGCTGAAGAAGACAGCCTCGACTTTCCCCACTGTGGAGAAGGGTGCAGAGGCTCAGCCTACCAGTCTCTTTTTCCAAAGAACTTCTTTCTTTTGACCTTTTTGTATTTAAACCACTTTCTATTCCTGCAGAGAAAGATACAGCGTTAAGGGTCACAGGACAACTTGGCATCTTCATTTTAGCTTTGGAAACACTTGCATCCTATTATTTTTTCCCTCAGTTTTCTGGACTTTGTTCAAAACAGAATAAAGAGCTCAACTTCTAGGTAAACAAATGTGAAAATACATTTCAGAAAAATATCCATGAATCTGAATCCTAAGAACAGACACACAGCCTTGCCCTTTAAATTAGTATATATTAATTGCATAAAATAGTTTCATTCCGACATTTTCATACATCTATATAAGTACTTGGATCATATTTAACCCCTTTTACCCACACCTATCCTTCCACTCATCCCTTTATTATTTCCAGTAGTCTCTGTTTGATTTTTATCATTTCTTTAGAATCCACATACGAGAAGAAACATATAATACTTTTCTTTTCAATTCTAGTTTAATTTGCTTATCATGGCTGTAAGTGGGGAAGAGAAAACAGCTAGAGGTAACCAAGGTGAGAATGAGTCTTTCAATGTTTGCCTTTTGTTTTAGTCTTAGCATTTAGTATTTTTTTAATTAATTAAAAAAATTTTATATGTATATGTGTATTGCCTGCATGTAGGTAAGTGCACCCATGTCGTGCAATGCCTGCAGAGGACAGAAGAGGCTGTCAGATCCCCTGGAACTGGAGTTATAGACGGTTGTTAGCTGTCATGTGGGTGCTGGGATTCAAACCCAGGTCTTCTGAGAGGCCAATCAGTGTTCTTAACTGCTGAGTCATCTCTCCAGCCCATAGCCTTAGCATTTAAATATATTACTATCTCAGTATTAAAAACAAAATTTCATTATTAAAAAGGGGAATAGAGTGCTTGTCTAGCATGCACAAGGCCCTAGATTCAATTCCTGGTACCACAAAAAACTGGAAGAAAGGAAGGAAGGGAGGGAGGAGGGAAGGAGGAGAAAGATAGGGTGGAGGGGAGGGAAGATTTTAAATAGAAATTTTCTTTACTATCCTGTGTCACGTGTCAGCTAATTGGCTTCCTCCCTACTTTAAACCCAGAACAGTAAAATTTTGCAGTTCTTTATATATTCTTGATGTGGACCCTGTGTGATGGGTAGTTAGCTATAGTTCGCTTCTGACTCTCTAGGCTATCTTGCTGTTCTACTGATTGTTTCCCTTGCTGTTCAAAAGCTTTTAAAAAATAGAATATTTTTATTAGTTGTGAATGCCATGCAATATGTTTTGATCATATTCACTTCCACTCTTCTCCCTAACTCCTCCCAGATCCAACACCCCACCTCCTCCCCCAGCTTCGTGTCCTCTTTTGTTTTTTAAAAGCCTCCAGCCCAATTTGGGTTTTTTTTCTTTTTAAAAATTGAGTTGTTATGAATTTTGTACAATGTATCTTCATCATATGTAGACCCCCCTCTGCTATTTGCACCCCCCTTATAGTGCCCCTGCCAGATTTCATGTACTCTGCCATATATATTAAGACCTACTGAGTCAAGTTTGTGTCCTTCAGTGTGCATCCATCCACTGGAGCCTGGTTAACTTTTGTAGCATTCATACCCTTGAAGAAAACCAGCTCTCCCGCTCCCAGCAGTTATGGGTTGCTGATAGTTCCTAGGCTAAAGTTTGAGGTTTTTACTCATTTCCTCACTTCTGCGCTGGGATTCTGTCTCCACCAGTCCAGTTTGTGTTGACCAAATACTCATGGGTATGGGACCGTCCACTGGAGCATGGCAAACCTGCCAGGAGCCACACCCTTATAGAAAACTGACTCTCCCTCCCCCAGAAGATCAACTGTCAATAGCTTCTCAGTTACAGTTGGGCGCTTGCGAGTCCCTCCTCCCGCCATTCTAGAATGTTGAGTGACTTGAATTTGTGCAAGTAACCACAGCTGCTGTGAGTTCATGAGTACAGTGGTCTTGTTTTGTCTAGAAGACACTGTCTCACTCCAGTTGCCCCCTAATCTCTGATTCTTGCAATCTCTTTGCTCCCTCTTCTATGTTGGTCCCTGAATTTTGCTGTGTGTGGAGAGGGGTGATCTAGATATCTCGTGTGGACGAGCACAACACCGATGCTTATTCTCTGCACTTTGGCCAATTGTGAGATATGTGCAGAAGCTGTTTCATTTCATGCAATCCTGTTAGTTTTGGGGGCTGTTTCTTGTGCTATTGGAGTCTTTTAAAGAAACTGCTTGCCTATGCCTCTATCTTGAAATGTTTTGTCTATGTTTTCCTTTAGCAGTATCAAAGTTTCAGGTTTTGCATTAAGGTCTTTGATTAACTTAGTTGATTTTTGTGCAATTTGATAGACATGGATCTAGTTTCATTCTTTTACATGTGGATATCCAGATTTCTCAGCACCAGCTGTTAAATATGCTGTCTTTTCTCCCATGGATACTTTTGACAGCTATATAAAAAATTAGGGGACTGTCAACTGTGTGATTTTATATCTGGGTTCTCTATTCCATTTTGTTGTAAACCAAGACACTGTTTCCTATGAATTGGGTCAGTTGACAGATCATCAGCTCTCTCCTTTGTGTGGTTTCTGTTCTACCTGAATCCATACACCTGTGGAATTCAGTACCTTTTCATGATTGATTTCTACTAAAAATCTACCCTTCCTTTCTTCCCCTCCTTTCCCCTCATCTCCATTTTTTTTTGTGGTGTTGGGAACTGAACCTAGGGCCTTGTACATACTAGGCAGGTACTTGACTCATGAGCTACATCCCCAGCCTTACTCTAAATCTCATTAAGGATTCTGAATGTTTAGAAAAGGTGTACGTGTTATGTATCTGTGTTGATTCTGTTGGGAATCGCCACAGGCTTGGTGACTTAGTATCACATGGGTTTATTATCTCACGGTCTTGAAAGTCAGAATCTTGAGACGGCTTTCACCAGAGTGAAATTAAGATGTTGCAGAATGGTGCTTCTTCTGGAGGCTCTGGGGAGAACCCATTTCTTTGCTTTTTTCAGCTTCTAGAACAGCCTGCATTCCTTAGTTCTTGATCTTTCCTCCATTTTCAAAGCTAACAACATGTTCATTTTTAAGAATCCTTGTGGTTACATTGGGTCTATCTGGAACCCAGAAAAATCTGTGTCTCAAGATCTGTGGCTTAGTCAAATGTACAAAGTTCCTTTTTCCATATGAAGGAACATTCAGGATCCAAGGATTAGGATGTAGACATCTTGACAGATCTTTGTTCTGCCTGTCACAGAACTATCTTTGAGATATGAAAACATTTTGATGCTGAATGTTAGTTTTCCTTGTTCTTCAAAGCTCTGCCCCTTTCTGCCTTTCATCTTTATTCTTTTTGTAAATTAACTTTTTAAAAAAATTTTATGGACATGAGTGTATTGCTTACATGTATGTAAGTGCACCTCTGTCGTGCAGTGCTCTCAGAGGTCAGAAGAGAGTGTCAGATCCTCTGGAACTGGAGTTACAAGACAGTTGTTAGCTGCCATGTATGTGCTGGGATTCGAACCTGGGTTTTCTGCAAGAACAGTCACTGTTCTTAACCGCTGAGCCATCTCTCCGGCCCTTAATAATTATTTTTATGCATCTTTGGCAATGGAGATTTAGGAGATAACTAGAAACTAGAAGGTGCGATATTTACAAAAGAGGATCAAAGATCATATATGCCAATGTGAGTTTTCTCTGCCATGGAATAAATCACTACATTTTAAGGACTTTAAGATCATACTTTTCATCCCTCATTTGCTTTGGGTCAGACATGCAGACATGCTCCCTGGCTCAGGATATCACAAATTTGCAATCAAGATACTGGCTAGGTTGCATAGTCATCTGGAGGGTCAGCTTGGCAAGATTTCTCCATGTTATTCAGGCTGTTGGCAGACTTTCTATTTCCTTGCGGTTCTGTGGATGGAGCCTCTGTTATTTTGCTGGCTATCAGCCAGAGGCTGACCTCCTGACCTACATGCCTCCACAAATCCTAGGAGCCACCTCAGGTGATTATCATGTGTACTTCTGCAACGTGACTGCTTACTCATCAAGTCAGAAGGGAGAATCTCTGACTGAAGAAGGGCCAGCCCCTCCCCCCCTTTAAAGGGCTTTCATCTTTATCTGACAAAGTAAGGTTGACTGAGACCCATGATAGTCTCCCCTTGAACTAACTAAAAATGAGCTAATTTGGAATCTCAGTTATATCTACAAAATCCCTTCATTTGTCAAATTCTGTTAGAGGCCAAGTCACACTCCGGGAGATTTTATATAAAAATTGAGAGCACCAGGGAACAGGGGTTGTGAGGGTCATTTTAGAATTCTGCCTACAAATTGCTTAAGAATAAGTTATGGGCCGGGTGTGGTGGTGCATGCCTTTAATCCCAGCACTGAGGAGGCAGAGGCAGGCGGATCTCTGTGAGTTCAAGGCCAGCCTGGTCTACATATTTCCAGACCAGCTGGGGCAAGGTGGTTGGGACATGTAACTAAAACGTAGCCACATGGCAATAATCCACCTCATTACATACCAGAGTGTTTTCCAGAAAACTAGACCCTGTGAGATTTTATGAATTTTTTTTTTTTAAATTTTCTAGGACAAGCCTGGTATTTAAATCTACGTTCCCACCCCCCTATCCTGATCTCCAGACTCATCTCCCCATGCCCCAATCTGCATCTGAAACACATTTCTGGTGTCAGCCATTTTCACCCCCTTTTCTCATTTCTGTGCGTAGTCCTCTGGCTTCTTCTCCTTCAACCTGGAAGTTGCTGATGCCCTACATCATGTCTCTGTTGGTTTCTATAATGATGCCATTCAGCTCAGGAGCTAGGTTTAGGGCCAGAACCTGCACTGGAGCCCTGACTGCAGATCAGTGAGGCCAGGGCTTGTCATGGATCAGATGAAAGGAGGAAAGGAAGAAATTTGTCTTTCTTGGGGGTTGAGAGGCTGGAGGTGGGGCAACACGTATC